GACAACAGTGAGGATACCCATCTTGACACCAACAGTCTGCCTATCAGCTGTATCAGAATCCTGTTGAAAAAATGTGAACCAAATTAAAATAAAATGTAACTGCAAAAGAAAAACCTGGCTTGATTGCTCAACAATCACACAATACATATCAGGACAAACCTTAGGGGTTGTACATGTAAAATACCTCACGAATGATTTGATAGCAGGTCTAGTGAGCATTACAGTTCATATGCATTATAATTTATGGAAAAAGTAGTGATAATGTACACACCCAACATTTCAGGAAAAGCTTCCCTGAGTCTCACAGACAAATGGGCAGACCTTCCAGACAGGTTCTCTTTCGATGCTAGGCAATGTCAGACAAACAAAAAGCAATAGGACTATAAAAGAAGCTGTTTAAGGTCAGTGTCAGCATGTTTGACGTTAGCTCCACCTCCCGCACCAGCTCAGGCTCCTTCCCTGCCAGTGAGGTGACGTTCCAGGAGGCAGTACGCCCGGATACCCGCTCCTGCCTCCCTACCGGTGGGCATAGCACTTGACCCCGATGTCATGCCCTGGGGGTAGTGGGCCCTCTGGGCAGCAGCCCCGTGCCACTTTTTCGGGCTTTGCCCGACTGAGCCCCACGGGGACCCAAGGCCCAGCCACCAAACGCTCTCTGGCAAGCTCACCCCCCAGGCCTGGCTCCAGGAGGAGGCCCCAGTTTTCCTGGTCCAGATGAGGTGGCAGCTTCCCTTGATTTTGCTGTCATCATGGGTCTTCGAATCGCTCTTTCTCTGGTCTCTTTTTGCTGACTCATTGACTTAGAGCAGCAGAAAGAACTTTTTGTATTTTTTGAATGCTACAGTATTCCACTAATTTCCCCCCCCCCCAAATATCTTTATCTATATTTACATTGTAGTCTGTTTTCTCCAGATATAATCTGCTATAAATTACACTTTAAGTAGGGCACTGACGCATTTGGTCCTTTTACACTGTCGTTATGATGAAACAGCTTTTAACACAGACACACACAGGTACACACAACGCCCTCCTAAAAGCAGCGAGTGAGGTCAAAGGTCACAGTCCCAGCGGTCACACTGTTCCACCAACATGTGAAACAACCACAAGCAAATGGTGAATGACATGTGACTGAGCAGACACATAAACACCTGAAGCACACAGACAGTAAACAGTCATACAAGTCCAAGTCGAAATTGCTGTTTTCTAAAAATGTTTTTAGCTATTTGTTGTTTTTTTTGTCTGTAAATTTGACCTCTTTGTGTCGGTTTTTGCCCATTCTCATAGAAAACACACGTTGTTATTAGTGACGTCAGCACACAGCTCCTCTCCTCCCACTTGGGTGTCAAACTCTCCTGTCTCCTAACTCCAAGGGAGAGTGTGAGGATTTTGGTCGCTGACTGATAGCGTTAGCATGCTATGCAATTTATTTATTTATTCTTTTACCACAAGCTTGCTAGAATCCAGAAAGCTGGTGCTTATTGTGTACACAATGGTCCTGGATCCCTCCTTCTTCTGCAGCATGTTGTTCAAAAACTTTATTTAAAGTCTTACTGGATCCTTACAGTGTTGAACCTACAAGCCTCAAACTCAGAACTACATCTAATAACATTGCTGTGCCTGTTTGTACTGCAAATTAAATCTCGGTTGTAATCCTTTGTTTACCCAGCTCTAGGTGATAAGCACCAACATCGACGCCAGCTCAGTGACAGTCTGAGTTACAGTATCGATGCCCTGCCACGCTATGGCACGCTCCATAACCTCACACCCAGGTGTCTTCCTCCTCTGCTCCAAGACAAACTTGGCAGAGTGCGATCAAAATAAGATGTTCACTGAGACAAACAACAGGGAGCAGAGAGCATCCTCTTTCACCCTCCTGGACATTTACCTCCATTTAATCACTCTTGTAAGGACATCCTTAGTCTGTGTCCGCCAGTCAAGACATCTTACACTAGGGGCAGCTCGGCTGAAGGCATGTCCAGGTAGTGTGTCTTTAATTTTTCCTTTTTTTTGTTATACCTTGTCTTATGAATGTCTGCATCTTGGAAATCTGTTTGCAGGCGCTGTTTGTGGTTATATTTTGCAAAGCGTGGAGTTTGAACACAGGCCTGGATGGGTAGATCATTTTGGGGATTTGTGTGATAAAATCATTTGGGGGAAAAAAAAAACAAAAAAATTATGCTACAACTGGCACCTGTTGTGAGGACTGAGGATTTCAGGTCCGAACTTTGCAGAATTAGAAGTCACAATGAGTTTGGAATTAGACAAATTAATCAGTCAGACACGAGGAAACAACATAACTGTCATTTTGTAATGTCTGTGCATTTGTATGCTTCTTCACAGTTTATAGTGTAAATTTAAAAAAGTGAGAAAAAAAACAAAAACACTAATAGTATTAAATAATTGAAACTAACTGTAAAAATACAGCAATAATACAATTTTCCATATTGAAGATACATTTTGTAGCCTTCATTTTCATGTGTTCATATAAAATTAAGGCTACAAAATGCGTATAAATATGTATCTTTCTAAAATATTTTAAATCAATTGTCACTACTTGTGTCTACTTTTAGAAATACATTTACAGTATTAAACTTGAGTGTAATGGTTTTGTCTATAAACTAGAACTATAAAAACTGTGAAAATGCAAAAAAAAAAAAAAAAAGCAAATGCAGTTTTAACAATATTTTCTTTCTTTATATTTTGTGAGTATTTACTGTTACAGGTTTTGCATGTATTTTACATTAGATGTGTATATTCACAGTACGTGTTCATTTTATTTAAATTTATTTTGTTTGTGTTTGAACTTTTTTGTATTTAAAATAATACAGAAAGAAACTAACATAAAACATAAAAATCTCTAAAATTACAATATTTATTTTATCAGTATTATTTTGTCATAATTAATAACAATAACAACAACAGTATGTATTATGCATATGGTAAATTAGCGATATGCAGTGTGACTGATTGTTTCTGTTCTGTTTCTCAGCCAGATGAAAGGATGGTTTCAGTCACACAGAAGAGCAGAAGCTGTTTGCTGCTACTTCTCCCACTCCATCAATCAATCTTTCCTCCTTTCTTCACCTTTTTCTTCACTCTTGTAGCCGTTTCTCTCTGGCCTGCTCTTGCATTAGCTGCCCTGAGAACACCAAGAGCCATAGCTCCCTCTGTTGGTGACACCAACGAATCAGCCTCAGTCCTGCCGGCTACCATTTCCACTGCTTTTCCTGCAATACTAAAATCATCCAGCACTGCACAGTCCTCAAAATACTTGTCTTTTTCTGCCACTACTTCATCCTCTTTGTCAAAACATACAGTTATGACTCCATCAAATTCAATATCATCCACTAAAATGTCAGCGCCGCTCTTCGACCAAACACCCTCCAGGGATGTTGTCGTAATCTCACCCACATCTTCTACGAAAATCCCTCAGTTTGGCAAAAAAGCCTCTCTAAGTCAAGATTTAGGCCACTGCCCTGTATCTCAGCTTCCTCTTCAACCCCTAAACCAGATTTCCCAGCTGCTACCTCACCGCTGCAAACATTTGACCCACAAAGCTATGGCTCAGCCTTCGCACGAAACCCTCCGGTCTCCTCTGTCTGAAATATCTCTCCATCCTGTTTCTTCTGAAGAGGTTCCTTCCCCACTGGCCTCACTGCTTCCTCCCTCCAACTCAGCTTCACCTCAACATGCTTCACACACGCTTCTCTCTCCTCTCTCGACACCATCCTTTCTAACAGCGTCTCCAACATTCAAAACTTCACCGCTGCCACCTGCCAAACCTTCTCCCATCCCTTTGCCCAAAAACCTGCCATCTCCTCCAGCAGCAGCAGCAGCAGTACCATCTCACCAGACTAGACTCCCCCTGCCTCCCTCTCTCCCCCACACCACAGACCCGCTGTTTGAGCACCAGCCTTTCATTGTAACTTGGAACATTCCTGCTCTTGTGTGCAACAAGTATAATATCTCGCTGGACACCTCGCCCTTTAAAGGAGTGGCCACGCCTGCTAAGGTGAGGGAAGAAAATCTACAGCTGCAGGAATTTTTCTGTGAAGTTTTGCTCATTTAGGCCCCACATTAAGATTCTGAGGTGATGAACAGCTGAGAATCTTATGCAAAAAACTGACTCTGGCCCCTAAAATGATATAAAAACATCATGGTATACTTCTTTAAGACAAATACACAACTTGATTCCCTTTATCTTGTTTCTTCTGCAGGTTCCAGGACAGTTCTTGTCTCTGTTCTATACAGACCGACTGGGTCTTTACCCCCACGTAGACCTCACAAGTAGAAAACAGTTCTATGGTGGCATCCCTCAGAGAGGAAACCTTAGAGCCAGCATGAACAAGGCCAGAGCCGATATTAACTACTACATCCCATCCAAGTAAGTAGGTTTAACCGTCTGGATCCGAAAACCTGCTGGAAAGCCATGTTGTCTTTGAAAAGATTACCAAAATTACACCATTTTTTTTTTAGGTCCATGACCTGTAAAAACAAGTTTCAACTTTCTGACATTCCTTGAACTCATCATCTGTTCTATTGGGGAACCAAATCCAAGCTTAAAACCTCACTTTATTTGACATGTCTTATTTAAAAACTCTGCAAAAATTAACCTATTACTTAAACCAGATTCTGTGAAAAACCCCCAAAAAAATCTGCATTCCCTAGCAGAACTAAAAAAAACATTAGTGACTCACCAACAGAACAGCTACGTGACAATAATTCTGACTTTCCAGCTGAACAGGGATTAACTGTGGGCTGTGTTTACTCAGAGGAGACACGTATGGAAACAAATTAGAAACACAAGCAGTATAATAGCTACAAATGTATATGGTGTACAGTCATAATGTTTTACAGAATTGGTGGTACTTGTGGGCACATAAATGTTGGACATGTTGAATACAGCTTCTGTTCCCCATTTTTTGTAAAGCAAATAACCAAAGAAGTTCAACTTTTAATGTATCTTTTTATATGGTTTATGACATTATAACTGTGTCATATTGCACAGAGGACACTTTTGAGTTCTCTCTGCTTGTTGCCATAGTTGTGCTCCTTCCATAGAGGTGCTGAACTTTATATTACAGTGAATAATGAGCCTACAGTGAGTAAAAATGTGACTGAACAAAACAAAACAAAAACAAAAAACATCCAACCAGAAACTGCGATCACAAAGTTAAAAGTCAAAAATCCAATTGTTACTTTGCCACTGATGAGACCTTCTGTGCTTATAATTTTGCTCATCATCACCGCCTCATTCCTGTCAGGACGACCAGGGGCCTGGCCGTGATAGACTGGGAGGAATGGCGCCCCCTGTGGGACAGAAACTGGGGCACAAAGAGAATCTACCAGACTTTGTCAGTGGCTCATGCTATGCAGACAAACCGCTCTCTGACAGTACAGCAGGCCACAGAAAAAGCCAAGCAGCAGTTCCAGGTCAGTGTGAGGCTCAATTTAGCAAATTACGAGTTATATATAGTTGTGATCAGCCATTAAAGTTTCATGAGCCTTCTCTTCCGTCATGATTCTTTTCCAGGAGGCTGCAAAGAGCTTTATGTCCGGGATGTTGTCAATGGGCAGAACTATGAGACCCAACTACCTGTGGGGCTTCTACCTGTTTCCCAACTGCTACAACTACGGCTGGCATGAACCTGACTACACCGGCCACTGCTCCAAGGAGGCGAGGAGGCAAAATGACGAGCTGTTCTGGCTGTGGGAGTCCAGCACTGCCCTCTACCCTTCTGTGTACCTGCAGGTTGGCAACCTTTATGAACGGACTATCTATTTTAAGTGTTATCTCCTCTTCAGATGTCATTTTTTTGTCTTTGTTTTTTAACAGGAATCCCTAGCAGACAGCCCCAAAGCGGCCCTGATGGTGAGAAACCGTGTCCAGGAAGCTTTGAGAGTGTCCGCCCTGCCCAGACGGACTACCTCTGCACCTGTGTTTGTTTACACACGACCTGTCTTTGTTGACCAGAATAGACGCTTCCTCAGCCAGGTACATTTAAATGCTTATTTGTTTAATACTCATGTTTAATTTGGCATTCACAGTTGCAGCACAAGTTTTGCATGTGGAGATGTCCTCAGGAGACATTTCATTATGACAGCGACTAGCTAATGTTATGAAATAAAAGACAGAAATTCACCTCTCAAACACATCCGTCTTTTGAAACTACTCATCAGGAGCGACTGCACACTTGACTAGATTAGATACATCTTAGGTTACTTCTTAGATCCCAGCAGCGATGTGTTTCCAGCCCAGAGGTCCAGTTTTAGGAGGAGTTTGGTTTCTTTAGTGTAACAACACCCTGCTCAGGTGTAACCCCTCACCTGAGGGTGTAATCCTTATCCTCTCTTCTCACCTCGTACGACGTGTGGATGAATACCTCCAACATGTATAAATCTTAACAGTGAAAAAAGAGGCCTTCATTTGTGAATCTGTGTGCAGAGGCGCTAATGTTCACCTATTTGCATCCAGGGGGATCTGGTCAGCACCATCGGGGAGAGCGCAGCAGTTGGAGCGTCTGGCGCTGTATTGTGGGGGGCCAGTGCCGACTATGATGACCAGGTAACATCACACCGCAGACCTCCGCTGGGCTGCTCGAAGGCACAACAGTGTGCTGATGGCAGGTGGTCTGACGGAGACAAAGAGCTAAATGAAGCGATCCTGACAGGCGCTCATCTCTGAAACTGAAACCTGCTGATTGATTGTGCTGGTTTGGTAATGCAACCGCATGAGTTAATCCACAGCAGGGAGGCTGAAATTAGCCTGATGATGGTGACTTTCACTAGAGTTTGACTGGATTTTTGGATCCAAAAATCCAGTCTAACCCTAACAGAATGTGTCATTTCTTTATGTTTTGGAATTTGTATGGATTCAACAAAGTAAGAAATAGTGAACTTTAGAGGTTTGGTCATGTTCGCCTTAACTTGAACAGATTGGAAGAGGCTGGTTGTGTTTGCCCTTTCTCATCATTCTGCTAAGCTAAGCTAAGCTATGTAGCTGCTGGCTCTTCCCTAATGTACAAAAATGGTGTCAATCTTCTCATCTTTAATCATATGAGAGCTGTTAAACTGTTGTAATGCTCTGTTTCAGGCACATACAGGCTGTAATTACTGTTATCTCTTTGTGCTGCCCCCTTTACCCTACAGACTTCCTGTAAAGCTCTCTCATCCTACCTCACGTCCAGCCTCAACCCTTACATCACCAACGTCACTGCGGCCGCCCAGCTGTGCAGCAGCTTCCTGTGCGGCGGGAACGGCCGCTGTGTCCGAAAGAACTACAAGTCCAATCACTACCTCCACCTGAACCCTGTGAGTTTCAGGGTTGTGCGTATTCAGAAACGCTACCTCGTTCTCGGGCGACCCACCTTCGCCGACCTGAAGACTCTGAGCAGGAGGTTTACCTGTCGGTGCTACAGAGGACTGAGCTGCAGTCCCAGGACGCACAGAGAGCTCGCCAAGGCCCTGATGTTTAGTCTGAAGCAAGGACTGTTCAAAAAATCCCACACTCTGACTAAAACTGCGTTAGATGACACACAGCAGACCAGTATTACAAAAGATAGTGTTAAAAAGAGCTTAAATGTTTAGCTAATAAGTCAAATAGTTGGTTAAAAAGTTAAATTCCCAATCCAGTCTGGTACCCATCTCGGTCCCAAAGGTTTCTGTCTCATTGCAACCATAGTAAACATGGGGCACTAGTAGCTTCTATTGCATTTAAATGCCCCTTAATAATAATTCTTAAAGGTTTTTCTGAGCACATTTTTAGTGATTATCTTTTTGTTAACATTTATATTATACTGCCTCTTGTCACACATACACGTTGCTATTTGGGTGCATAAAGCAAAAACTATTCTGCCAGCAGTGTTCCTCCTGTACTAATAATAAACCAGTGACACAGAGAATCTATTAAGGACAAACACTATGCCATATCAGAGACATATCACATGTCTGTGATAATATTCCCACTGTGTATTTGTATATGATTTGACTGCATATGTAAATAAATGAAAAAAGAGAAGCTGCAGCTGTGTTTGATTTGTTTGCTAAGGGATGACCAGAGCGTATGAAGGGTCCATCCATCCATTATCTGTACACTGATAA